ATGGAAGTGTGTTATTAGAAATACAGATCGATTTATTTTTGCACTAACAAACTTTAATATTCTACTGTAAAATATAATCTAAAATGTCATAACAAAAATAATAATCAAAAGCTCTAAAACTAATATGGTAACTCATTGGAAAACAGGAACTTCGTATTACGACTAGTATGAAAAGTATTCACAAAATATAGAATATAAAAATTTTGAGCTGTCTAAACGTAGTAAATCTGACGATAAGTAGGTAATAATTATTGTAATCTTAGCATTCGTTTCGCTCGGGTTCTGTGTTTAGTAATTAGGCGTTGATTTGTTCGTGAACGTTTAAGAAAGACATTTTTAAAACATCCGTGATTTTACATTTTTTAAAAACTAATGCAAAAAATTAAAGGGTCAAAAGAATTTTCGAAATTTTTCCATGATTTTTGACACTGTATTTAGGTAAAAAATAGTCGTATCAGGAATTAAAAAATAGCATTTTGAAGCTCCAAGATTCTAGTTTTTAGATCTTTCGGTCGAAATTTTTTAGGTGCTACGGTTGTCATTCAATTCTAATAAATAGCGCGACAAAAAAATTTTGCAAATTATCTTTTTTTTTCCAGTCCAGGGACTTGGAAATTTTTTTTCAGCTTAGCGATTGTATGTACCAGATAGCTAGTTTACTCAGCTTCAATTTCCTTTCTTTTTAAATTTCGATACGACCATTTTTCATCGAAATATCGGACTTTTAATGGAAAAGGATCATTTTGTTTTCAATCATCGATATCTCGGCGACAAATGCTCGTACAGAGAATTGAAGGGCAGTTTCGAAAACTGGAATAAATTTCCTATATAAACATTCGGAAAAAACATTTTTTATCTTTTACACGAATTTTAAAAAACAGGAAAAAAGGGTAATTTATGGTTTTTTAGAAAATTGACGGCTAAATTAGAATTAAACATGACTTTTACAGTTCGACATAGGTACCCAGAAGAACCCTGTGAAGTTTCATCTCAATTTAGCGACCCGTTTGTTTGTTTCAAATAATCAAACTTTTGAAAACAATTAAAGGGTCACGTTTTTTGAGCTTAAACACTTTATAATATGATTAAAATGGGAAAAGTTTGTTTGAGGTTTTTTCACATTTACCGCAAATAACGTTTAAATTGATGAAAAAAAAAGAAAATTTGCTAAATTTTTTTATCACGCTATTAGAATTGCATGATAACCGTAGCTCCTAAAAAATTTCGACCGAAATATCTCAAAAACTAGAATCTTAAAGCTTCAAAATGCTTTTTTTATAATTCCCGATACGACCATTTTCCACCTAAATACAGTCTGTTAAAAATTACGGAAAAATTTCGGAAATTCTTTTGACCCTTTAATTTTTTGCATTAATTTATGTAAAAAGTGTAAAAACAGTATATTTGATACTACATTATTTATAAGACGAAAATTAATATACATTTTATCTTTTGCAGTCTTTGCTGCTATTGTTTAAATATTTTTAGTTAGGAATCTAGGGAAGACCAGGACAGAAAAGTTGAATTTTGGCCGCCCTTGTAGCTCGGCCGTCCTGGTGCCGGGGCACCACCAGCACACTGCCCAGGAACGGCCCTGATAATATATTACAATACCTACCTATTATGAAAAACCTGTATGTATGTACTTTCCTACTTTTACATAATATACGCACAAAGAATACACTGCTTTGTGGTCGTACTGTAAATTTCTATTATATTTGGCTATATTATATTTAATTGATTGCCTATAAAAAAGCTGAAAGGAATATTACGAGCATTAAATTTTGGAATGCTTTTCGGAAAATGATGAGCTTGGTAGAAATAGATATGCAACACAAAGTACACCTATTGACATCTGAATACCGCATGCAGGGTTGCCGTTTTGCCAGTAATTACTGGCATTTGCCAGGAATAAAGAGTCCTGCCAGTAAATTTGCCAGGATTGACTTAACGTCAGAAATTTGCCAGGGGAGCAACATTTTCAGGGATGTCGATTTGCAAATAACCCCCAACATTTGCATTATTGCATTTGTTATTAAAAGATCATAAATAAGCATCACAGAGCACAGAGATTACTTTAATCAGTTTTAAGAATTTCGATTCACGATATCACCGCTAGATGACGATGTATCATGCTTCTTTACTATTATATTTTGTCACACTTGGCACTCGGCAGCGATCCTTGTTTAATGTTTAATATTACAGGTTACAGAGTGATAGTGATAGCTATTTATACACTGACGGGATACGACGGTTAAGACAAAGGTAATAATCACCAAAATAATAGATTAAACTATTAAATTGCCAGGAATTGCAAGTAATAATATAATTAAGTTTTGCCAGGAAATGTCAGGAATGCAATCAAGTTTCGTCAGTAATTTCGTGTCGACCTAGTGGCAACCCTGA